CCCCCCCCCCCCGCCTCCTCACCCCCGGGTGTGGGGAGCTCCTGCTCCCTGTGGGAACCAGATGCGGTTTCGGGGCAGGGAGCATCCCACCCCTGGGGCAAGGCTTCCTCGGTGCGGGTGCCTGCCGGCCCGAGAGGAAGGTTGTTGAGCAGAGTGGGGTAATGGAGGTGACAGGCCGGGCTGTGCCCGCCGGCGTTTCGCGCGGGGGCGGTGGGAAAGGGCGAGCCTGTCGCCCGCTTGCTTTTGCAGCACGTCAAGATTCGAGAGCTGCATGGGTGCCCCAGCCTAGGAGCGGTTTTGCTTCCACTAAACTGAGCCGGAGCGGTTTTGCTTTGTGTTTTGGCCTGGGGCCCGCGCCTTGCGAAGCAGGTTCCCTTTTTGGAGGAGAGAAGACGTTGTGCTTTCCGGGAGGCCGAGAGCCCCTTGCACCATCTCTCAGAGGTGAAGGAGCGCTCCAGGACCTGCGGTCCTGAGGAGCTTTTGGGAGCGGGAAGAGCAGGAGGCACGGCGATGGAAGGAGCACACCTGACCATCCCAGCTTTCCCCCCCTCGGACACTGAGCTTTCTCAGCCTGCCGCAGCCTCTTCTCCACTTCTTCATTCCAGCGCCTCTGTACCACCCAGGAGCCATTCTTTCGCTCCCACCCCATTCCCTTTCCTTCTTTGGTGTTTACATTCTTCAGATACTTGCAGGCTGTTATCACCTCCCCTGTAGCCCTTCTTCAGCCAGAACGGGCAGCTGCCTCTCCTTAACCTGCTCTTGTAAGCCAGTCCTTCCAGATGTCACCTATGTCCCCAGCTCCTTGGGACCCCCTCCAGTGCCTCTACCCGGCCAGCTGTGGGGCTGAACATATAACTCTGGTGGGTACGGATGCAACCAGGCAAAATTGCTGCTGCCACCTCCCAAGCCTAAGCCTCTCCATCCGCAGCCCCGAGCTGCGTTGCAGGGCCGTGCATTTTTACCGGGGGTGCATCCTGCCGCATCCTTGCATCTCCGGCACCCGGATCTCTCCCAGCGGTTCGGCTTTCCTGGATATTTCCTCCTCCCACTGCTGAGCCGTTTCCTCTGGGTGGGGGGTTCGGTTTGAACCCCGCTCTTTTCTCTGCTGGTATCCTGAGCTCTTTATGCCGGATGAGGAAGCTGAATTTGGTTGTGGGGAGGGGGAGAAGAGTGGCTTTAAGCACTTTGTGCATGAACTGATGCCTCGTCCTATGGTACCGGCCCCTCTTTGACAAGAATAGTTCAAAGCCGATTCCAGAGCTGCGGCTCTGTGTCTGGGAGTGGCAGGGAAAATGGGGCTGGCAGGGAAAATGACCCCTGTGCAATTCACCCGCTTGGGAGAAGCCCTCCGGGGGGATTTTCTGGCCCCAGCACTGCATCAGGGGCAGTGGTTCTGGCAGGACTTTTTGCTGGTTTTCCCAGGGGCATACAGCCAGTTAACATTCGTTATTTTGGCACCTAATGCTTTGGGATTGTAAATCCTCAATCAGACGAGACCCAGCTGATCCGTACAAAACTCCCAAACAGGAGTTCTTTTGCTCCCTGTATTGTTTTTCCACCTCCGCAGAGCCTGCCCGCAGAGAACCTCTTCTGCCGAGCACACGTGCGTCCCGGGAGGGGGGAAGGTTGCGCTTTGACGTTTCGCCTCCTTTCCTTCCCTCCTGCCGCTCCCAGTTCGGAGCCGGAGCTGAAGTCACCGGATTGGAAGGGATAACGGGAAAAAGGGTGGAGCTGCTGCCACGGGGAAGGAATTAATTTTCGGGGTGCTTTTTCAGGGCGGCAGTGGGACGTTCGGGTCCGTAGGGATGGGAATGCGTGCGTCCCCCTCGTCTCCCAGCTGCCAGCGGCGCCCATCACCTCTGCGGGAGGTGAGGTATGGGAGTCCCCCGTGCCCTTTCGCTCCGGTTTCCCTGCCTGCCTCCCTTCCCGGGCGGCTCGGGGCCACCGTTGGATGCTTCTGGCCAGGCCTGAAGCTGTAGCAGCCGGTGACCCTCCCCTTGGCGGGCTTCCCCATGCTTGCTCGAACCAATAGCCAGAGCGTCGCGGTGGGCCGGGACGTCCTCGGTTCTTGCCGCCCCATAACCTTGGGTGTAACCCAAGAGCAGCAGCTCGGGGAGATGAAAGCAGGGGAAGGCTCAGCCCAGCTGGGCGGCCGGGGAGCTGGGCTTGCCGGGCAGCCGCGGCCGGCCGCCGGGCTCGTTCGGGGGGTGCAGAGTGGCCCGTCGGCTTGCCGAGCCACCCCTTCTCGGCAGCTTGGTCGCGGGTGGTAGTTGTGGCACGTGAGGGACTGCTGGTGGCTTCCTCCGGGCTGGCAGGTCTGCTGCAGACCGCTGGGAGGTCCAGCTCTGGCACCGTCACCTCTCCGTCACTGTCCCCGCCTGGTTCGGCTGCAGAAGAAGGGGCAGATCGGCAAACTCTGGCTTCCCCGGGGAGAAGAGGCATTGGGCTGAATTATTTGGTGGTGCAACTTCTCCGGAGCCAGCAGGGTTGGGAGGAGGGAGCAGCTCGAGCCTGTTTGGCTGAAGGCAAAGCCAGGGAGAGCGGTTCCCCTGAGTCAGCTCTCTGAAGCTCCACCTTGGGAAGGAGATAAACTGGTTGGGGATGCCGCACCAGTGGCGTGAGGTTAGGAGGAGGTGGGGGGCGGGGGGAAACTTCTTTCTAGCACGGGGTGATCTGGGTGAAACTCTGTTCGTCCTCCTCTTCCGTAGCTGTGGCTGAGGCTGGGCAGAGGGCAAGCTCTGCAGCAGGAGGGGGCAGAAAGAGCTGGGTAAGAGAGGAGCCCCCAGCATCTTGGAGAGTCTTAGAGAGGGTCGAGGATCAAGCGTTGGTTGTGACTCTGATTTCATCTCTACCCTGGGGCACGTCGTTTAAAGGCAACGTGTTTTCACAGTTGTTGAATTGCCTCCTGGACGTTTGCGGTGAGGGCTGTTTCTTGTAGAGAGCTGCTTGTGTCTTTAATAAATGATCAGTGGTGAAGTTACCGGCGGGACGTAGCTCTGGGGCACGGATGGCGGATGGCGAGGGTTTGGACAAGGCCTGCGGTTCTTTGCAACTCTGCCTCTGTCTCCAAGGCAAGCCCCGTCGGTGGCGGTGGAGCACTCCCTTCTGCCCGCTCCCCTTGTCCCTGCCTCCCCCTCTCTGAATAAATACCTCCAAGGCACCTTGTGGAAACCTCCCTGCTGCATATTTTCCTTCAATTTTTTTTTTAAACCTCTTTCCTTATCTCCTGCTTCCTCTTACAGGAACAACTGCCTGCTGCCGAGAGCTAAATCCAGTTCTCCTTCACCACTGGGTCCTACACCCCCATGAGTTTCCTAAAAGCGATGCCAGGCTATTCCCACTGTCTTTCTGCCACTGGGGACTCGCCTTCCATCCCCTGGCATGAAAAGCCCTTTTGTGGGTTTCTCCAAGACAGTAACCCTCTGTTTTGTCCTTTCCTCTCCAGCCGGATCTCCTCAATTTCAAGAAGGGATGGATGTCCATTCTGGACGAGCCGGGAGAGGTAAGCCCGAGGCGAGGGTCTGCCTCTTCCCCCAGCCCCTGCAGCTATTGATCCCCTGGTGAACAGCTGATTTCCTTCCCCCTCACTTGCTGAGGTCGCTCCTGCTGGGAAGGACAGCGGGAAGCCTTTGGTGGAGGTGCCTCGCTTTGTGTGCGGGCACGGAGGTTCGCCCGGTGCCCCTCTCCCAGCCGAGGGGCACGAGGGGGAGCTGGAAGGGACGTGGAGGAGGGGGAAGAGGAGGCCGAGAGGTCACGGCGCAGAGCGTCCCTCCCTGTTCCTACGCTTCCCCCGGTAACTGCTTATCCGTTTCCCTCCTGTCTTTTCCCTTCCCTCCCCGTGCCCAATCCACCCGCAGTGGAAGAAACATTGGTTCGTGCTGACCGACTCGAGCCTGAGGTATTACCGGGACTCGAACGCGGAGGAGGTAAGCACGGCTGGACTTTCTCCAGCCCCTGTCCTCCTTCCCGGCCAAGGGGGGAGAGGACCGCAGCCCTGGCACGACCAGCACGCTCCCGGGAGAAGCGGCAGCGTCACGTCCTCCTGAAAGGCGCTGGAGGTGGCGAGCTGCTCTTTGCCAAGGGGTGACGAAGAGGACGGGTGTCTGAAGGCGGGCCAGTGGGGTGGTGAAACCTGGGGGGGCTGTCAGTGGTGGGAGGTGAGGAGAAGGGCCGGTCCTGTGGCTGGGCATCTCTGACGCTCTCCATCCACGCTGCTGGCTCCCCGTGCTGTGTGGGAGCTGTGGGGTGAAGGCAGAGGCAGCCTGCGCTTCTGTTAGGGTGCCGGCAGGTGATGGGGGGCTTTTTCAAAGCTGGGTTTGCACTGATGTCCTAGCGGGTGGCCGTGCTTGCAGGCTGATGACCTTGACGGAGAAATCGACCTCCGCTCCTGCACAGACGTGACGGAGTTCGCAGTGCAGCGCAACTATGGCTTCCAGATACACGTGAGTGTCCGGCACCGTGTGGACACGGGGCAGCAGCACCAAGGGACGCCGGGTGGGAATGCGCGCTCCCTCCCTGTGCCGAGATGCCGAGAGGCAAGCCGTGCAAACCTTTTGCCAGGATGGTGGCCCAGCAAGGCTGGTCAGTGACGTGTGGGTGGCAGTGCTCAGGGACACGAGTGCTGCCCGCCTGCAAAGGGAGGAGGAGGAGGCAGCTTTGCAGGGCTGGCCAAAGGCTGTGCTGGAGACGGCCCAGGAGCCGAGCTGAATGCCAGGAGTGTTTACTTGACCCGTTGGCCAAGGCAGCTTCTCTAGAGCCTTGGGGAGGGAGAGGCAAGCACTGCAGATCTCAGTGTAACCTGGCTGACCGTGCTCCGAGTAATAGCCTGTACCCTGGATCTGGCGCCGGTACAATCCTGTCCTTGGCTACTTGCTGTAGCAGCAGGAGGTGGCTGCTAAGGCAGTACAAAAAACTGTATTTCTGTGGGTGTGCAGGGCTGGGCACTTCATGGTCTGGGTTTCCCTGTAGCCTGCTGCTGTACCCCAGCGCTGGTGCCCAGCTCCCAGCACCTGAACAGCTGGATTGCACCGGCTCACATTTGGCCAAGTGTGCCAGCAAAGTTTCTTTTGCCTTTGCTTGGAGATGGTCTCATGAAGGATGCGTAACGGGCTTCCCCACAAAGAGCGTGTCTCCGCTCCCACCCCTCCTCCTGGCCCCGAGAGTCTTTGAGACAGCGGGTGGCCTCTCTAACACTGTCCAGCACCCACGCAAGCGGGTGCCCGGGGGTCTCAGGGAGCAAGTGGGAGCTGCCTGCACCTCTGCTGGGCACTGACAGGGTCTCTGTTGCCTCCCTGTTGCAGACGAAGGATGCCGTCTTCACCTTGTCAGCAATGACCTCGGGCATCCGGCGCAACTGGATCGAAGCCCTGAGGAAGAATGTGCGCCCGGTCAGCGCTCCGGACGTCACCAAGTAAGAGCTGCCCCGTGCCGCTTCTCCTCTTCCCGCTCTTGCTGCCCCTCTCCCCTGGCAGGCAGGGACTGGGAAGGCCCCTCTGGAAATCCGGCTGCTCCCAGATCAGCCCTGCCCTCCGCTCCTCCTGAACATGGCCCAGATACACCAGCTGGTGACGGGGGAGGAGAGCCTGATGGCTCCTGCTCTTGCACCCGCATTTTGCCTTGCCACATCAGTTTAGCCAGGTTTCTCCACCAGCATGGCTGGAACCAGAGGTGAATCATTCCCACCCTATGGAGGAACCCCTTTCCCCGAGGGCTGGGATGCTACAGACCCAGCTCCATGCTCAGGGTGGGGTTTTGTAACGCTGGGCTGAGCCTTGGGCAGTTGGCAGCGTCTCCACCGGCATCCTTTCCCACGTGGTGCCTCTCCTTCACTGGCTGCTGCTCTGGTTTCAGGCTCTCTGACTGCGATAAGGAGAACTCCTTCCGTAACTGCGTCCCCCAGAAGGGCTCACTCCGGACAGAGGAGCAGCAGCGGCCGGGCTTGGGCTCCGAGGGGAGCTCGAAGGGTGGTCACTGGAAGGCGGACGGGCAGCGCCATGCCTTTGACTACGTGGAGCTGTCTCCCTTGCCGCAGGACCCTGGGAATCATGGGTCCCTGCAGAGGACAAGAGGGAGTTTGAGGATCTCTGACCGAACTCCCAAGCATGAGGAGCTGGAGCGGGATCTGGCCGTCCGTTCAGAGGAGAGGCGAAAATGGTTTGAGACCCCCGACGGCAGGGTCCCAAACAGCGATGGCCCAGCAGGAGACTCTTCCCGCAAGGTGGGGGAGCAGGACCTCCCCGCTCCCCCGCTTTCAGAGGACCAGCGGGTTCGGCTGAATGAGGAGATAGAGAAGAAGTGGCTGGAGCTGGAACGCCTGCCCTTGAAAGACTCGCGGCGAGTGCCCTTGATGGCACTGCTGAACCAGAGCAAGGGGGGCCATGGAGACACCAATGAGGCGCTGAAAAAGGAGGTAAGAGCATCCCTAGTCTCTGAAAGTGGGATTCTGGTGGCCCCTTAATGTGGTGCCTGGAAGCAGGAGGCTCTGCAGAAGAGCAAGGCAGAGGTGCAGGGAGATGTTCATTCTTTCTGGCTCCATTTGCCACCCCTTGAGTGCATGGGAGCTTTTGCAACCAGGTAACGCGAGGCTGGAGACCTGCTCTTGCGCACCTGGAGAGGTTCCCCAGGCCACATTTTGGTCCAGGATAAGTTAGTTGGTGGCACTGCTTGCATGGAGTCTGTGTTTCCCAGGAGTACATCCACAGCCTCTCTTCTCTGGCTGTTCCCAAGCCTGCAAGTGCTTTACCTCCCAGCCTTTGAAAAGAGCCGTGCACTTGTCTGTCGTCCCAGCTACCCATGCAGTGGTGGTTTCCTCCAGCACGGATCCACCTCTGGAATTTGGGATGTCTCCTCCCCTCCTTGCTAGCCCTTACCAGGCTGGGGCTGGCTTTGCCGATTTGGTCCCTTGGCAGGCAGCCATTCCCGTGGGAAGCGGCCATCTCCGTTGGCCGCGCATGGTCCTCCCCATCCCTAAGCCCAGGGTTCGAATGCGGCACGTTGGTCAGGCCGCGGCACTTTTCCAACCCTGGCTGAGCATCTCTCTCCCCTCCCTGGTGCAGGTCCAGTCACTGCGGGCGCAGCTGGAGTCCTGCCGGGCCCGAAACGAGAGCCTTCGAGAGGCAGCGAAATCCCAGGGAGACGGCCACGTGCCCCGGGGGTACATCTCACAGGTGAGCAGGGCGCTGGACATGGGACCCTGGGGTCACTCCCAGTCCCAAACTGGGAAACGCTGGGACTCGGCTCATTGCCGAGCAGGTATCGCTAATCATTGGGTTGCCATGGTGACCCTAAGTGAGCCCACTTGTAATCAATGTTAATTATATAAAGGCTGGTGCGTGTTGCCTGGCCTTAAAGGGGCCAGAGTATAAATGGGGAGGAGGAGGAGGAGCCGGAGAGGGAGAGGTGCAGGATCTGTGCCCCGCTTTGTGCATGATGCTGGCCTGGACTGGGGGGGTGAGCTGTCCCCCAGCTCGGGAGCGGGTCAGCAGCTTTCTGCCAAGCTGCCTGCGCGTTCCCCGGCGGTTTGCGGCTCACCACATGTGGTTCTTGCTAACAGGGGCTCCCGAATCCCTTGTTAAAAGCAGTCCGTCAGGCCCTGGGGAGCTCCCATCCCTGCCAGAGCCGCCCGAGCCCTGAAGGTCACTTTGACAGCACAGCCCGTTCGTTTGCTGGGACGGCACGTGGGAAAGCCCGCCAAGCAGAGTTTGCTCATGCTTCAGCCTCTCGCTTCTCTTTGTTTATTTATTTCCACCCCCCGTGGTCTCGTCTGAAACAAGCGGGGTCACATCCCGTAGGGATTTCCTGGGCGGAGGCTGCCGTTCCACCACGCTGTGGAGATTTCAGGATGTGCCCTATGTGTTGAAAGATACTGGGGGGGGGATGGAAATTGGGGCTGGCAAAGCCTGTTGCAGTCATTTGGCTGTACCTAGCCCAGATAAAGAAACTCACATGTTCCGTGGTGCCCAGACCAGCCACTTAGCAGTCACTCTGTCATCTTGATCTAATATTTACAGCTCACAGGCCTCTTTATGGTCAAAAAAAAGCAAAAGAAGTGGGGAGGAATGGCACCTTATCTTCCTAATAACTTCGCTCAAAAGGCCAGCATTTCACATCTGAGGCCAAACTTGACCTTTCCCCAAAGGGCTCGTGTTCTCTCAGCCTGCTGAGGTTCGCTGCCAGTCTGTGGACAGATCACCAAATCGATCCCTCGCCTTTTCCTCTCCTCTGGTCGATCTGTGAAGCTTCCCAGCTTCCCATGTCTCAGTAGGGATTTAGCCAGCAAGGACTTGCATTCCCACAATGTGTTCCAGTGCCCTTTATATCAGCCTTTGCCTTAGTACTGGGGGAAGGAATGGGGTGGCAAGGGGCTGTTGGGGGACACGATGGTTTCCTGGCTCTCTACTGATGTCTTAGAGGCCCTGGCTTTTTAAAATAATACTCTGGCATGGTTTGGTGGTGAACAAACCCTTCCTGAGAGGCTTGAGGCAGTGCTGCCAGCATCTGGAGGGAGAGCAGAGGCGTAGCTCCAAGGTGGGAACTGCTTTGCTTTGCTGTAACACCAGTTAACCACAGCGCTTAGCGGTGAAAGACCCATCCCCTTGGTCTCAGAGCCATCAGAAAGAAGGGTGAGCTGTGTGAGGGGGATCCCTAAGCATTAGGCTTTGGGGAGGGCTCTTTGGCAGCCTCTGTCAGGCTGCAGGGCAGTGCAGGGTGTCACTTTTCAGGAGAAGAGGCTCAGCTTTCATTGATTCTGGGGGATGCTGCTTCATTTAAAAAGCAGATGAGATGCGGTTCTCTGGCAGTGCAGCCTGGTGGAGGGTCTGGACTGGGGTGTCGGGTGCATTATTCCCAGCTCTTGGCTCAAGAGGAACGTTCTTGTCTTGCTGCTTTAGTTTTAAGAACAGCAAGAGGAATGTTTCTTCCTCTGCAAAGCACAAGGGGATCGCAAGATGTGTGGCCCTGTCAAATGGTTGGGTTCAGTGATAACCTCGCTTTGAGAAGGAAAAGACCCTCCTGGGAAGTGGTCTCACTCCTCGCAAAATGGCCCTGGACTCGGGTGAGGTTTGCAAAGGCAAACATTAGCCCAGCCAGGTGCCTGTCCTGGCCTGAGCCCTTCCTCCTGCCCTCCTGGTCCCTCACCACTCCTTTCCCTGGCACGGCAGGAGGCCTGCGAGCGCAGCCTGGCTGAGATGGAGTCATCCCACCAGCAAGTGATGGAGGAGCTCCAGAGGCACCACCAGCGGGAGCTAGAGCGGCTGCGGCAGGAGAAGGAGCGGCTCCTCGCAGAGGAGGCGGCGGCGACAGCAGCAGGTAGGAGCGAACACCAAGCCGTGTCCCCGCTCAGCTGGGTCCCTTCCACCTCTCCCAAATGTTTCTTGCCAGAAACCAGTCATCCCAGTCATCTGGAGCCACGCCGCTGACCCTACTGGTGTGAGGCTGATGTTCCTTGGAGCATGAGCTTTGTGCTTCTCGGACCTGTGCTGCAGGGGTCTGTTTGGGTTCGGGGGGGATGGGGGGTAAAGATGCTGTGGGAGATGGGGTCTTGCCCCTGTGGATGGGTGGGAGGGGGCCAGCACCTTCTTGTAGGCAGGCAGGGCTGGCAGAGGTGGCAGGGAGCTCCCACACTGCACTGTGTTATTCTCAGCAGCATTTGGTCCATCGGGATGATCCTGGGGCATGGAGAAGGTGGGGGATGCCCTGAGGGCAGAAGGGAAGGAGAGGGAATCTGCAAAGACAGGTCCCGGAGCCTGCAGCAGAAAGAGCTCAGCCAGTTCCCTGGCGTGGTTTCCCCAGATGTGCCAGAGCTGGCACAGCCTGATCCCCCATCTCCCGTTGTCGCCCTCTGCAGCCATCGAGGCGCTGAAGAAAGCCCACCGGGAGGAGATGAACAAGGAGCTGGGCAGGACACGAAGCTTCCAGCAATGCAGCTCGGTCTCAGATGCCCTCCAGAAGCAGCACCAGTAAGAAACCACTTCTCCCGCTTCCCTTGCCCGATGCTGCCGCCCTGTGCCAGTGTCACCGCACCCCACCTGCGGCCGTAGCCCCCAGCTCTCCCTCCTGCCGCCTCCCCAGCTCTTTCCCCGGGGATGGTGGGTGACCAGCGGAGCCTGCCAGGGCTGCTGGAGCTGTAGGGCAGGGGGGTTTATCCCCTGCTTGGCTATTTTCCCTATAGCACCTCTGTGTTCCCTACAGGACTTCTGTTTTCCCTGTAGCTTCTTCCCTCTATTTTCTTTATGGAAAGCTCCTCCGTTTCTCCTGCATGGCCTGAAGCTCCTAGAAGCACCATGCTCGTGTGCAGGAGGGTGGGAACTGAAGCCTTGGTCCACATGGAGCATTTTTTTGTGCCAATGACCGATGTGGGCAGAGGCTGCCCATGGCAGGGGGGAAGGTGATGCTGATGGCCAGGGGCCAGCGAGGGTTGTGGGGCAGCAATGAGCTGGTGGCCTCTTTGGCAGGTTGGACGTGGATTCCCTGAAGCGGGAGCTGCAAGTGCTTTCTGAGCAGTATTCCCAAAAGTGCCTGGAAATCGGGGATCTCACCCAGAAAGCAGAGGAGCGGGAGCAGACACTGCAGCGCTGTCAGCAGGAGGGGAAGGAGCTCCTCCGGAAAAACCAGGCAAGAGAAGGGATTTCCCCACCAGCAGAGACCGCAGAGTGCGTTCCTCCCTTGCACAGCACAGCCTCTCTGTTTAAAACTCCCCTACCTGTTTTGTATTTGTTCCCTTCTGAGGTTTTATCATCAGAAAGAAAAAAAATTAAGAGTTAGAGGCTGTAGATGGGCTTATCTTAACTATGGGGTTAAATACGGCAAGTGTATTCTGCTACTTGTAGGTGCTGCCGTTGCCTATGGGCAGGGGCTTACAAGGAGGTCTCTAAGCTAAAGCAGGGCTGGCATAAGATGGAGGGGCCAGGACAGCAGAGAGGCCTGTGCCATGGCTACTCTGATGTCTTTTGGTTTTGCCTGCAGGAGCTGCAGACCCGCCTCTCGGATGAGATCGGGAAGCTGCGAAGCTTTATTTCGTCACGAAGCTCTGGAGACCGCTCTCCGCACAACAACGAGCGGAGCTCCTGCGAGCTGGAGGTATGAGGGTCCTCTCCGGCTGTCCCGCTGCCTCTGTCCCTACCCCGTGCTGGGGGTCTCGTCCTCGCAGTGGTTTTGGCTTGGAGCGTGTGGGAGGGGGTTGCCGCATGGAGCAGCGGGGCTGGTGTGGGAAGCAGGTACGCAAGCTTCCCCTCCGCCGCTTTCCCCGGGCCGCTCGTGCTCTTTCCTGCTCCGGCCCTCCTGGCCCTTCCTTCCTTTTCCACCACCGCGCTTGCGCCAGGGCCGGCTGGCCTTTCCGAAATGGTGGCTCTTTGAGTCACCTCTGGTTCCTCTCCCACCTCCCCGGCGTAGGTGCTGCTGCGGGTGAAGGAGAACGAGCTCCAGTACCTAAAGAAAGAGGTGCAGTGCCTGCGGGAGGAGCTGCAGATGATGCAAAAGGTTGGTGTTTTCTGGGAGCCATTGGGAAAGCGGCAGGAGAAGGAGGAGAAGGGAGGGAGGGGAGCACCAGCGCTGCTTGTCAACAGGGTTCAGCTGGGTTTGATGGGATGCTCAGGCCAAACCCTCTTGTCACCTGTGCTCCTTGTCCCTGCTCGCTCCGAAGCGCATAGCAGCCGTGTGCTCCAGACAGCGTGGGCTGGTGTAGATTTACCTTGTACCAGGGAAAAATGTCATGGAGACTTTGCTTCTGGTTTCCCCAGATGTATGTACCTATAAGTGTGGACAAGCCAGGAGCCCTTCTTTCCCAGATGGGAAGCCTGGGTGACTCCTGCCCAGAAAACTCCACTTCCCCAGCCACTTTTCTCTTCCCCTTTTGTCCCCTCACTGGGTGGATGTGTTTCCTTGGGCACCATTGCTGGGTGTGCTGCTCCCTCCACTGGCAGCAGCTCCTTCAGAGGGATTTTCAAAGACCCCTGCCAAAGGGGTACCTGAAAGAGGCTTTGAGATTCAGTGACGCTCCAGGAGTTTACAACTTTCTCACTTAAGTTTTTTGCCGAATAAGTGGCTGGGACCAGCCCTTTCAGCGGCCTGCGTCTCTGGTGGGATTTATTTTTCCAATACGGCTGGCCCAAACACGCATGAGCCATGGTAAAGCTCACATCGCCTCCTCAATTCTGATGCTGCAGATCCCCACTGCTGTGGGACCAGTGACTCTGCCTTCCTCCCCAGCCCAGGGTTTGGGAAGTGCTACCTCCACGCTCTTCTTCTGAACGGTTTCTGCGTGGTCCAGATTGGGATGGGCTTCAAACCCAGGGCTGGCTCCCCCCTCCTCACCTGCTGGTCCTTCTCCCTCCCCTGGCAGGATAAGAGATTTGCCTCAGGGAAATACCAAGATGTCTATGCAGAGCTGAATCACATTAAGGTGCGCTCGGAGCGAGAGATCGAGCAGCTGAAGGAGCACCTGCGCCTGGCCATGGCGGCTCTGCAGGAGAAGGAGTCACTGTGCAACAGCATCGGCGAGTAACGGTGAGCGTCGGGGATGCTGCGATGTTCCCTGCAGGTGCAGGTGGCTGAGACCAGCTGCGCCACTTTGACAGGGGGATGGAAGCCACCGGTTCCTCCCGCTCCACTCTGCTGAAACTTTAGGCTTAAACTCTTCCTTCTCTGCTTCTTGCATCCTCTCATACTGCACCCCTGGCCCTCCTGTCATCCCTGACATTCTCCCAAGGTCCCCAGCCCCCTTCTTGCTGCGCTGCTCTTGATGCTCCTGCAGCCAGCACCAACTACTGCTTAACCGGGCTGGAGGTGGGAGCCGGCGATCTGCTGGCCTTTGCCCTGTGGCTTGGGTGACAGCGCGGGGGCAGTTATGCGCTACTTTACGTAGGTGATGTTTCTGCTGCGTTTGCCTTTGAAGCGGTTTCATCGCAGCATGGAAATTTTAGGTCTGCATCAAAGCAGCCCCGACTAGACCCAACCTTCCTCCCACGCTCGCCTGCAGGCATCCCCGCTGCGGCTGGGGAGGGAAGCAGGGTGACGGGAACGCGGGCGTCCCGTTGTCCAGAACGCTTCTGCTCCTTGCTTGGATGCCGTGGCTGTCGGGATTGGGGTCACCCTGCTCCGCCAGCGCTTGCTGGTGAGCACTGAGATGAGTTTGTCTGTAGCAGCATGTAAGGCGGCCATCTCCCAGGGGAGCAGAAGGGACGGCATTTCTGCGCTCGGTGGAGCCTTTCTAAACCGTTTCTGGTTTTGTCTCTCTCTAGGTCTGCTCTTCGTTTGTTTATCTGTTCTCGGTTTGTATTTGCTCCATTCCTCACTTGAGGGGAGGGGGAGGTTGAATCCCATCCGTTATTGCCTTGGCGAGGAATCCCACACCCCTCTCAACCTCCTCACTCCCCTCCCAAAGCTTTTTTGATGAACCCCTTTTGCCTGCGTACCTGAGCACGTTGTTTGGACTGGCTCCTTACATGCACCTTCTCCAGGATTTTATATGTGAAAATTATATTTTGTAGAGGAATTTTTTCCCCCTGGGAAGAAGGGGAAGAGGAGGGGGGAGAACTCGTACTACATCACCAGCATTTTCTAACCTGAAAAAGAGAATCTGGTTTTCCCCCCCTCCCCAGCCCCGTTGCTCCCAGCCACACCGCCACCTTCAGCACATATTCCCTCTCTTCCAAATGTCTCCGTGGCCCCGCTGGGATGCACGGCAACGACCACGCTCCCCCTCCCGTGCCAGCCCCGGGGACCTGCGGAGAAGACATGCAAGCCATAGGAGGGAGTCGCCGGGGCAGTCTGCCATGGACGTGCTTGCCTGGGACTTTTGAAAGAGGAGACCTTGGCAAGAGTCCGCATGATCGAGCTCTCTCCGTGATTGTCCTTTGGCTCCTTCAAGAACCCAAACTGGCAGGAGCCCAGAGCCACGGGGCTTCTCCTTTCTGGGGAAGAGGAGCTGTGAGGCTGCTATTGCACCCGCCAGAGCCAACCTCCCCCAAGGTGGCAGCTGCTGCTGCTCTGCTGTGCCCTTCAACTTTTAACTTAATAAAATCTTCCCCTTTCGCTGAGAAAAATGTGTTCCTCGGGGCGAAGGCTTGCCACGTGGCCCTAACCCAGTGTGGCAGTGGGGGGTCATTTTTCCAGGTTCCTGTGTGATTTTGGGGCATCCTGACCTGTCACTTCTCTCCCTCTGGATTTGGGGAGAGAAAGCAGCTGGAGCACTCCCAGACCCTGGCAGGAGAGCGAGTGGAGCCCTGCAGTGCCGTTATCCAGCTGTCTGCTCCACCTTTGGGTTCAAGGGGGGAAATAATCTGCTTCACCACACCGGTCCGAAAATCCCACATGGACCCTCAGCCTGGGCTGCATTAGTAAATCTAGTATCGGTGGAGGCAGATGGCACTGCAAATTACTGGTAGAGTATGTCTAGATCCTGGGGGAGATCAGAGGGATCTCAAATGCTTTCCTCCTCATGTTTTTGGGTGAAGCACGTTGCTTTTCAGCAGGATGGAGGATCTGGGGGTGACTGCTCCTCGTTCAGCCCCATCCCAATGTAAACGTGAGCTGTTGCTCTGCAGAGAGGCCGCTGACAATTACAGAAGAGCCCTAATTGCGGGTTTGTGCCAGGGCTGGAGGCACCGTCTGAAGAGGGGAAGATGAAGGGGTCAAGGAGGACCCTTGGATGGAGGTGATGGATGCTTTGGCTGAGAGGCTGGAGTACTGCAAGAGATGGGGATGGAAGCAGGGCGTAAGGACGCAGTGGCAGCCACAGTGAGGAGAGTTAGGGCAGCCTTCGCTCAGCCCGCGATAACCTCGCCGTGGTATCCGTGGCCCCTGGGGCGGGGGGGGTGCAGGCAAATGCAAGACCCCCTCCTCCATGGGCACGGCTGTGTCGACTGCTTTCCCCAGGTAAGGCAAGCCGCTTCGTAAGTCACAAATTCTGGTAAAACAGGGTTGCAGGCTTTTGTCGTGCGCGTGAGGTCCTCGGGCAACCCGGCGGATGGTGCAAGAGGCCAGGCGCCAAGCTTGGCAGCCGGCTCCCCGTTGCGCCCGTGCAGAGCCAAGGCTTGCTCTCGCTGGTGCTTGGCCTCATGCCTCCAGCCTAGAAACCCTCCCATCCGAGGTCCAGGCTTTTCCCCCTGCTTCCCAGCAAGGACATGGCTGTTGCCATCGAGTTTGGGACGGGGCGAGCATTCGGCACGCCGCGGGGTTGAGATGGGAAGGCAGGCAGGGCTTGGTCTTGCCACGGGAGATTGGTAGGGACCAAGACAGGAGGAAAAAAAAAAGCAGGGTTCAGGGCATGGTGTTCTGGGCTGGAGGGGGTGCATGCGTTGTTTTTGGAAAAAACAACAGTCTGCCTGGTTGTACCTGCTCCTGGAGGAGGAAACCCCCCAAAAGTAGGGCACTGGGGGCAAGCTGAGGGTGAGCGAGGGGTGAACTGCAGAGTGCTGGTGTGTGCGGCTCGCCAGCCCCTTCCCCGAGGGGTTCGGTATCTTGTGTTTGTTTGGGTTGGTTTGTTGGCGTGGTGGTTTTGTTGTTTGTTTGGGGTTTTTTTTTCCCCTTCCTGACTGGGGGCTGCTGACCCCGATAAACGTGTCGCGTAAGCGTGGGTGAAATGTGTGGGTGCTTGACATGCTGTTGAGCTGCCCCTCCTCGAGGCTCTGCAGCTGCAGATCAGCCACCGGCTCGGTAGGAGCGTCCCGTCATCCCGGGGTGATGGGAGCTGCCACCTCCCAAACCAGCACGGCATTAATCAGGCGGCCCCCGTCTCGCCTGTGGCTGGGCGATACGGTCGCCCTGTCGTCTCTGCATTGCTATCTCCTGGGTGCAGGGGAGCTGGGTGGGGGGAGAGCAGTGGGAAGAGAAGGCGGCAAAAATGCCCACGGGTGACAGGCATGATGGCCGGAGGGAGGCCAGCTCTCCGTCGCATCTCGCAAAGCCCAAAAAGCACCCCAAAGCGATGTCTGTACCCCATCCCCTTGCTCGCAGCTGGGTTGTGGCTGCAAGAAATGTCCCAGCCTCAAGCGCAGGGAGAACCCGCGGCCACACAGTGCCCTGGTTTCATGAGAGCCAGCACCCCAACTCACATAAGTAGCTTGCCCTTAAAAACCAGCTCATAAATCTTTTAAAACACTGGTAATCGGTCCAGCAGCCAGAGGCAATTCCCTTTTGCCATTTACTGGTATCGTTAAAGCCTGCTCTGCCGTTAGCAGCAGCCAGGACTGCGTGTCCGTGCTGGGCTGACCGCACTGTATTGCACGCCAGGGCTGAAGCTCTGATGAGCAAGGCTGGAAAATCAGCTAATTTCCCTGTTTGGCCACTAAAAAGGCACTGAAGCTCTTGGATCTGAGTGCCAGTGAGGCCACGTCCCGCTGCTGGGGATTTGGAGCCTTTTTGAAAATGGAAACCAGGTAAAATAATATGTTGCTGGCATTAGTCACCAGAAGTGCCCCGGTGCATTCGGATGCCAATGAACAGCCATCCTGCCCCTACAAGGCAGGGGCTGATACCCAGTGGATCCATAGCACATCCACAATGGACACGGTTTGACCATTTAAGACGAAATCCACAGCTGGAAGTGCATAAATCCTTTTGGGGTCTGGCTGAATGCAGTGTGTGGAGGGAGGAGAAGATAAATGGGATTATGGGGAGGATTCCTCTGCCAGGCTCTGTCTTCTGGGGTTCGTTGGAGAAGCGGGACTTCCCCACCTCTGCCGACTAAATGCCAGAAATGGGAGGCACAGGAGGCTTGGAGCGGTTGGGTAGCTCTCCTCGAGGAGAAAAGGGGGTGCAGGGAGTAACCCACCCCAGCCCATGCATGGTGGCAGGTTCCTGTGGCCAGAAATACAGGCACGAGCCCAAGCTGGGCACAGGGGACTGGGTGGCCTATGGGAATAATTTTTCCTTCTGGATGAGCCCCCCCATGCTGCCTGCAGTGGGGTGCTGGACCCCACTTCCCAGAGGCAGCGGGGCTTGCATTGCTCTGCAGCACCTGCATCCCATTTCCAGCCCTAGCATCCTGCCAGGGGCCGGAAAATTCCTCACGATCCTGGCCAACTCATCTTAAGGATGCATCAGTGTAACAGTGCTGGGTTCAAGGGGTACTTTCCAATATCAAGTGGGACACTTAGGGGTTACCTTGACCGGGATCCCCCCCCATGTGCAAGACCAGCAGCAGCCTGATGGGCTGTGACCACCCGTACGCCTTCCCTCCACCAAGTCACTTGGGGGCATGGGATTTTCCCCCTATTCTAACTGGCTAAAAAATAGGGAGCTAGTCTGGATGAAAGGGTCAGAACCGCCATGTATAGAGGAGAGGGTGTTTGCCCGCCAGCAGCAGCACGCGCCGGAGGAGGCTGAACAACCTCGGTCGACTGCGGGAGCTGCCCAGGTGATCGGTTGAGATTAGACCCTTAATTTTCAGCTGGCTAAAGTTAGGTGAAGCATCTGCCCTCCTTCCTCCCTGCCTCCCCCTCTGCTTGCCTCCCCATCACTGCGCTGCCCTGATAACGGCTGCCTGGTTTTTCAGGCTGGAGGCTCTGCGGTCAGCCGGCGGTGCTGTACCAACCCCGGGGGCTCGGGGCCAATCCTTACACCCCCATCCCCCCCATCTACCCTCCGAGCCCCGCATATGTCTGAGCCGCTTCTGACGGTTAAAAACTTGGATGCAAATAAAAGCAGATGGGGTGTTATCTGCGTGCACCTGGGTTGCCTACGTGCAGGCAGCCAGCGACGGCGGTTTATTCCTGGCTAGGAAAAATGAGAGGTCCTTCGGCCGGTCGAAGTGTCAGACAGAGGCCGTCGGAGCTTGCTGCCCGTATGCTCCATATGGGATGGAAAATGATGTATTTGTTAGGTCTTAAGCAAAAAAAAAAAAAACAACCCAGGGGAGGTGGAAGGTTGGTTATTCCTCTCCGTAATTAGGAGCTCTTTGCTCTTAATAAAATCAAGTAGTTTGCAGGTGCTGCGAACCTTCCCTGCTCCCCGAATGAAGCAGGGCACCGAGGAGGGAGGCACAAGGGGATGCCCCTGGCAGCCCTTCCACCCGTGGGAAGGCATCAGGGGGCTGAGTGCCTCCTCCTGGGCCCAGGGCACGACGCACTCTCACGTAATATGTGTGTATGTCGGGAAGGGGGCATCAAATATTTCTATTTCTATTCTTTTTTTTAATGTCTGTTTCCTTTTATTTCTGTTTCTAATTTCTATTATTTCTACTATTTCTATTTCCATTCTTTCTATTTCTACTCTTTCTATTCCTATATTTATATTTATTTGGCTTTATATATCTATTTTTATTTTCATGCCCCTGGGCATCTAAGGCGCATCGAGGTTACAGACAGATGCTCGCTATGTATTTTAATGCCCTGCTGAAGCGCTGGGGGGGTTTGGAGGTGCCGGGGTTCACCTCCGAGCACCGCACGGCGTGTCGGTAGGCACCAGGAGGCTGCGCCCGCGTGTTTTTAAGAAATAAGGGGGAAAAGATCATCAAAATCCTACGGGCCAGATGATGATAGCAGCTACATTTAATCTCCCAGGGACAGCCAACCACTCACCCAGCTGGGAAAGGGTGGCTGGTTGTCACTGTTATATGTCCTTGCTCTGTCCCCTCACAAAGAGTTGTGTGTTCCCCCCTCCCCAAAAGGGGACAGCCTCTTATTTGTGACCCCCGCCACACACATGCGAGGGCTGAGCTGATGTCCCCAAAGCAGCCGGTGGGGAGCAAAGAGGGCAGAGGAGGGGGGCAGAGGCGCTGGGCTGTGGGGTACTGCTGCTGAGCCTATTTTGAGCCCAGTGCGCCCCCTCTTCTCCTTGGTGTCCCCCCCAGTGTCTCCTCTAGTGTCCCTCCTTGTCCCCTGACGTTTCTCCCTGTGCCACTCCTTGTGCCCCCCCAAATGTCCCTCCCTGACCCCCAGCATCCCTCCTAACTGTCCCTCCATCTCTTGATGTTGCTGAGTGTCCCTGCCATGTCCCTCCCTGTCTCCCCCAGCACTTCTCAGTGTCCCCCCATGTCCCCTCCCAGTGTTCCCCCCCAAGTGCCCCTCCTTGTCTCCTCCATGCCCCCCTCAGTGTCTCTCCTCCCCACCCAAGCGGTCCTTCTTTGTCCTGCTGTTGTCCCCTCCAGTGTCCTTCTTTGTCCCTACCCAGCATCCCCCCAAACACTCCTCCCCGTCCCCCCACAGTGTCCCTCCTTGTCCCGCAGTGTCCCCCCCAAATACTCTTCCTTGTCCCCCAGTGTACCCT